GTGATGTGGCTTTAGACTTGGTTTTTGCAGCATTTTCGACCATCGGAACCGCTTCGAAGTTTTTAATACTTGTTGGACACGTCTCGTGGATACTGGCAACTTAAGATCACTGCGAAATTGTGATGCACTTTTCGATTCTTTGGCTGCACATCTCATAAGTAACGAATGTTGCCTCTTCGTCAGTTTCTGGTTTTCTCCTTTAGGGTGGTTCTTACCATAATTTTCACCTAGATTTGTGTAATTGTCTATGACAGTATGTGAACGATTTAGTTTTTTTGCTATGGCACGATTAGAACAACCCGTTTCCTTGTAAGCATCAATCGATACCTTTTCAACGCTTGTTAATAAGTTTCCTCGCGGCAGTTTGATAAAACTGAATTTAAATATAATAAGTATACGGTTTCTATAAATTAGAAGATTAAGTTGAACAATAATACTTACATTTGAATTGGTTTGATCACGGTCTGTAGTGGCTACTCGTACGGAATTTACATAGAAACTAAGTGGCTTTATAGAAACTGCGCTCTTAATTTGTGCTTCGTGCAGAAAAAGGGCAAAACAGACACGGAACGTAAACATTCTGGAGCAGGTAAATTATTCCATGGAGACTTAATATTAACAAAACGTAAACACAGACGGGAAAAAGCAACAAATTTGGTAATATTTTTAAAATATAAACGAAAATGAAGATGACTTTATGGAAATTTCGAGCAGTGTATGTCGTACGCGTGGAGCGATACTTTAGTGAGTAACTGTAAAAACATGTCTAAATGAAGGACAACGCGATTAGATTGACAAATACTGAAGGGTCGGAATAGTAATTACAAAAAAATGAAAATATGATTCGATTAAAAAGTACCGTAGCAAGATTAAATATCGACGCACCGCATGAGAAAGTTTTCTTGTAGACTCTGCGTTACATAGTTGTTGGTAAGGGCACGTGCACATGTACGGAACAACAGTGTAAATGCGGTAACGAATAACAGACTCATCGAAGCACCAACGAATTAACTAGGAATTTAGCAATTTCTTTGTATGTTTTTTTTTCTTAAATAAAGTATGTATAAAGTAGAAAAGTTGAACTTTACAATTCAAGGTCTAAACAAATTTGATGATTTTTTTACTAAAAAAATGTGAAGCAAGATGTATACATTTCACTATGAAAGCTATTATTTGTACACCCAGTACGTTCCACATCCTTCCGGTTGAGATTCTCGACCTCTTATACGCGACTGTTTTTCACACATGGTTGTCCATCCAAGGACAACTTTGCCAAGAATTTTTTCAAGGTGAATCACTGTCTCCTTCAATCTCAACTACAGATGAGACTAACCATCTTCCCATACTTGTATTTTTACCAATACTATTTTGTGTGATGCAATACGAATACAAGGTACATGTACATACACTTACAGACACAATTAAGAGACAAAACGTGTTCTTATGAACATCATATCTGTTACCCCTATTTATACATAATCAGTGAATATTGACGTATGTTTTATATTTTAACAGAGTCAACAATATGTGTTTCTTGTATTTTAGTCAAATCTTTACATATGAAAGAAAAAAGAGAAAATGCAGTACACAGTCCCTGATTAAATGCCCTGTTCCTTAATTTATGTCAGCATATGTATAATATTTTGTATTGAATATTTGTATCGTATAATATATGTGCATGCACATGCAGTAACAAGTTTCAATTACTTGAAATCTGTGACTGTGAACATTTTTAATGATCAAGAAATAAAATTGGAATATATATTTATAATATAGATAACACACCCATGTACAAACAAGATAAGAATACTAGGACAAAAAAAGGATAAAACAATATAATAAATGTTAAATGCTGGATTTTTGTCTATGGTCACCTCAATACTCAGTCTAAATTAACACATATTTGTAAAAAAAATTATTCCATAGCATTAAAAATAAATATTCTGTGTGTCGAGGTTAATTACCTGTCACAGAATCACAAGTTTCCATAAGCAATTTGTCATCTAAATTTATAAGTTTAAATCCTTAAAGCACAATTATGTTAATTAGTATGCGTTCTAGCGTAATGTCATTACTAAGTGTCAAAGAAACTTTTACACTATATTTTATCAACGTGTTGTTCATGATTATAATGTTTGCAGTATGAGATTCTTCGATCAAAATATTTTCCACAATTTCACATAATTTGTAACTCACCTTTATGGTATTTACAAAGTTGGTTAATTGACAATAAATCAAAAAGTGGTATCATAAAGCCCAAAGAATTTTGTCCAACACATAGTGAAGTGATTAGTTATTATAAACTGATTATCAATCAAATTTATGCACTTACTTTATAAACTTGGCCATAGGTTCCATTGCCGACCACTTCAATCAGCTCAAAGATACCTGCAGGTTCCTACAACATTAAAATATGAATACAGTGCTACTTATGATATACATACTAATAATATTCATGTATACATATTTAGTATTTGTAGCATATATTAATGATTAAACTATAAATGTTAATGCAAATGTACATTTTTATAGATCAAATTAAAGAAAGAAATAAAATAGGAATTCATATTTTTCATAAAAAAAATTGTATAACATTAAAAATAATATAAAAAGAACTATTGTATATTATGTATTTTTATTTTATAATCCTGCATACAATTAAATGTGTTATATCCAATTATAATTTCTGAGAAGATAAGTCCATTTAATTTATCATAAATGTTATAAGATATTCTGTCATCTTTACATACGCTTATGTACAATTATAAATGTAATTACTTTTTATAAAGTGTATAAATATGAAATTCATTTGTAATACAATGTACAGTGATAGAAAAAAATTATCTAATTACAAATGGTTGAACCTTTAATGATCTGTATTTGTAGAAAAAGAATATGTTACATGTAATAATATCTTAGGTATGCACATAGACTTTTATTCAATACAAACATATGTGCATACCAAGAAAGAGATAATGTTTTGTGACTATACACAATGTGTTCTGTGTATTGCATATCAAGTTTATAACATAAATTTCTCATAATCTAAAAGTCTTAGTATTTTTTAATAGAATATATGTAGAAAAATAATTACAGTGATACAATCATATTCTTCTTTTTAAATAATTCTATTCTTATTTAGAAACAGAATACGTGAACCCACTTTTATACTGTAATAACTATTTGCAACATTAGATGTCAGTGAATTTGGTGACTCATATGAAACATTTTCCAAATAATTGTCAATGAAATATAAGGTATACTGATAACGTGGGCAGGTGTTTCCGATTTCATCCAAGACAATATTAATGACAGAAAAATTAAAGGAGAACTTCTCCCTCCCGTTGTTCTACCAAGAATAAATAGTCATCGCCTGTCTTGCGAGGTTAATTACCGAACACTGTATTCATTTAAACTATATGGTAAACTGGTATAGTGGGAGACATCGAACAGCATATATATAATTCTGAGACGTCAAGTAGAATGAAAATAACATATATTTATGTACCTTCAAAGCGTTTAGATCAATGTCGTCGAGCGAACAGTTGACGCTCGGTGCCAAATTATGCGCCATCTTGATACACCACTTGCGCTCCTCGCGTTATCTCTCGTACGCGAGCTCGCCGAATCCACCGTCTATCCTTTTTTCAACTTCTCTCGTTGTTGTTCCTTGTACCCACTCTTGGATATATGCCGGCCAAAACTGCAAGGGGTGGAGAAAGAGAAAAGTATCTTTCCTACACTACACTAACACGAGACACTAAGATCACAAGTGGTAATTCCTGTTAACACGGTCTGGCGATATTTTTATGAATATTTAACCAGGAATAATGCAGTGAGAAAGGAAACACACGCGTGGTAATAGCACATGGCGTACAAGAACTGTAATGATCAACGTGACGAACCAGTTTACCAATCAAACGGAAAAACGATGTACACCTCCATCGCGTTTCTTTTAAATTTTTTTTATAAAATATAATTACGTCAGTTACGCATAATCACAAACAACCTATTGCCCGGTCACAGCGCCAAGCGCTGGATCGTATCGTCATAACGAAAGCGGCACAACCGAGCCGAGCCCAAACACAACGGCAGCGGCCGTTCTACGTCCTGTCTCACTGCTTGCTGCACGCCTCGTTTCTCCCTCTTTTGCACTCTCTCGTCTCGTGTTATCTTCTTCGTTCTTAAGCGTGCGCACACATACTTTTCTTTTCTCTCTTCTTTATGCAGAACAAATATTTTCACCGTCTTTGTTTTTCGTACGCTGCGTGATTGCACACCGCTACTCCTTGACGTCACCGGCTGGGCTAGACCATGATGGCGGCGTGCATTCCCCTTCCTAATTCTCTTATCATTATATGAATTCAACCAAAAGTAAACTTTGTCCAAAGCATGTTAAATTCTACAATTGTAACTGATATTTGTAGTTTGTATCAGTATATACTATCCCCTGATTAAATTCTTCACTAAACGTTTACTCGATATGGGTAACACTTTAGAATGTTATATAAGTACACGTAAATGTATAATATTGAATCCACCAATTCGTATTGTCAAAGTATCAATAAAATACAAAATCATATACTAATAAAGGCAACAAGTTTATTTTCATAAATAAATATATTTTATAAAAACAATACTATCATTTGTTAACTTCCATCGCGTCACATTTTCTTACACATCTTCTGTTTTTTTTGTATTTACATGAAATGTTCTACATAGTGTACATTTAAAAAAATATTAAATTTTGTTATAATTGTAACATAATTATAAATAATATTATAACCAATTCAGTCGTACATACGCTTAAGTAGAACTAAACATTTTCTATAATACAATAACAATTTCTTATTCATGTTGCGTTACAATCGTAACTATGAATTATATGTACCCACTGTACATACACTATAAAATATGACCATACGGCTATTTGCAATTGTTGAGTTTTAATTAAAAATCGAGACCATCGTTTCTTAACATAGTGTTAGTAATTAGCGCTGTAAAAAATAGTGTTTTTTATGATGTAACTTATGAAGAAATTTGTGTAGAAGAATTCTTATCTAACACAAAGCTGCTAATTTTCGTACTGTGTTCAAATCTCGAAGAAGCATTTGTATCGTTTGTTTAGTTCGAGGCTGAATGTCTTGACTAGGTACAAGATCTTCCGGATCCAGGGCTTCTAAAGCTGCAAACGTGTATTGAATGTTACATAATGACATTTTTTATAACTGTAGTTTATACTGCATCTAGACATACCACAAACTTGTGCCTCAATAGATGTTAATCTTGCATCTATATGATTTTGAAAATGTTCAATATGTTCTAGTAATCGCATTCGACATTCTCCTGGATCTATCGGTGCTTCTGGTTGTGGTATAAATGGTTGCAATGGTGTTGATATTTCGTGTTCATTTGGTTCTTCGCGCATTTCATTCTCTGATAATGTTGACGCAGATATATCATTTTCAGCCGTTTGATTCGACAGTAAATCTACATATGTATAAAAAGAATTAAATCGTGTTCTCAGTTCGAATAAAAGAAAAAGAAAATTTCAATCAGCTGTAACTCATTTCTAACCTGTAGCTGTTTTTACGTCTGAAACTGTTGAAGGCTTATACTTTCCTTCCGTAGCAGTATTTTTTGTAAGTGCATGGAGAAGAATATGACTCTTATTTTGGTTTGTCAAATCTTCCTTTTTATAAACACCTTTAGTTTCGTCTGCAGTCGTATTATCTTCTTCCAAAATTTTCATCAATTCCGAATCCGAAGCTATTGATTTTTCATCATGATCCTCTTTTAAAGTAAATTTAGTTTCTGTCTTGACTTCAATACGTCGCGATACATCAATTACAGTGTCTCCAGGATCTTTCACTGCTTTTGTGACTTCTATAATTGGTACTGGCGTAATGTCCGGTTTTTCTATTTCTATCTTTTCCCAATTCTTCGCCCACAGATATAGCTTTGGATGATCCTTTTTTCTATAATGCCATTTTTTTACTTTTAATAATGTATATTACCTTTAATCTTTTTTAAACATAATTTATAGATGCTTTATGATACTTACTGAGCTACATTCATTTTTATTCTTAAACTATGTAACACTTGTTGTATCTGCAAAAGAGCAGCAATTAAATCATAAGAACGTTTCAACATGGCTGTCCTTTGATTAAGTGCATATTGATTTTTTGTTCGATTAGGCAATGTTGGCAGTTTTCCCTCTTTTATCCAATCTTGATCATGGAAATATTTCTTTGATGCTCGTTGTCGATATGGATTCTGACAAATATAACAGATATATTTCTCAGGCACATCCTTTTCCTTTTCTATTGCATTACAGTGACCATGTTGCCAGCATAAACACAGGTCGCATTGTATCATTAAGCCATCTTCTTCCATAAACCCACAGGTGCAATTTATTATTTCTTCTCTGCGAAGTTGTTCCACCTTTATCATTTCACCGTTAATCATCATCATAACTCCTTCATTTTCTAAAATGTAATTTACGATTTCTTAAGAAAAAAATAACAATTCATTTTTCTTTTATTACTACGAACAATGTGTATAAATGTTTGTTAATGTTAAAACATTGTAATACATATACTTCCAAGTACAAAGCATAAGAAAATGAAAAGATTTTAAATGCAGAAACAGTTTTGTAATGCGTGAGCAAAGGTAAATAAAGAAACGCATAAAAAAAAAGAATGTACCTTCCCCATCATTATTTGTATCTCTTTTAGTAATATCCCCTTTTAAGGATTCAGCCTTTTCAAGACGAGAATCATTAAGTTGACCTAAAGAATAATAAAATAATAAAACAGTGGACTATTACTTATATTCTATTGAACAGAAATTAATGACTTACAACCACAGAAAATTAGAAGGTAACTGATTTATCACAAAATGATATGCCAGCTGTAAAAGATATGCTAAACCAAAAATAAGAACTTACTACTCTGACTGTTCTCGTCACTTCTTGAATCTGATTTTCGACGACTATACCTATACATGAGTGTAGGCGGACCTTCCGTGTCCATAGCACTTTCATCTAAGTCGCCGTATTCATCTGTAATCTCTTGAATACCTATTACAAAAAAAACATTTTATATTTTTAATATACTAAGAAATTATAAAATATGTTATAGATTATTACCGGGTCGTCTTTTACCCCTACTTGGAACATCAGAACTATATTCCGATAACTGTCGTTTCCTTTGACCTTTCATCCTATCAATATGAATACTTTCATCTAAAGATTTTGATCTATCGATTCTCTGTGTTTCTGATGACGTAGTGGGTCTTACTGGAAGGAGAGTCTTGATACCAGTTGATGTTCTTTCTTCTCTGACTTTCAGATCAAATAATGTTCCTGGTGACATTGCACATGATTCTTCTCGTTTCTTCTGAATTTCGTCATCCATATCTACGCTATGACTAGAAACTGGCGACATTCTCTCAATTTTAACATCTGCTTGTACTTCATTACACTGTTCCATTTGATCAACCTCGTCCTCTACTTCTAAAGTTGTAGGCATAACCAGTGTTGGTGATATGGGTTGAACAGAATTTATTATTGATGGAGACATTACATATAACGGTTTATCTTGAACAGACTTTTTCTTTCCTAATTTATTATATTTTTCTAATAAATTATTAGATTTTCTAGGAATAATATCTTCAATAGATTCTCCAATTGTTCTTGCATACGCTAGGTCTGCAACATTTGGTGTAGATCCCAAAAATTTTGAATACTCTGGATGATAATGTTTAATGTGCATTTGCAAAAGATTTTCTTTTCTGAATGTTTTGTTGCACCCTTGTTTTGGACACTTGTAAGCACTATCCTCCATTTCTACACGAAGTCCCCCAATAAAGACAGCTGTTTGAAAGTAATAAAGCATACTTGTTAATAAAAAATAATTATAACACAACATTTTTTGTACAGTTTACAGAAAACTAGAAAACAATATTTCCATTTATGTGATATAATGAAAAATATTATTAATTTCAATATTTATAAGAATTTTTTAAAACACTTACAGTAAATTGTTCCTAATATGAGTAAGCATGAAAAAGGCATAAAACTGATCAAGTAACATGAACATTAAAAAAACAATTATATTAAAGTGAAAAAAGTCTTACCACCGTCAGGAATAGATGGTGTTGGTGTAGAAACTAAAGTTGTAACTGGTGTACTTGTAGGTGTAAGTAATGAGTCTATTACTGGTGTTGTCTTTGTTTTAGGTAACAGTGTTTTAATCTTTTTTGGCATTTCAGTGACAACATCTTGCTTTACTTTCTGCCCATGGTTTTTCTTTTTCCGGTGAATACAAAAATCAAATTTATCTGGATCAAAATCAAACTGTCCTTGATTTTCCATAAACGCTCTGATATCATTTTTTGATCTAAATTTCTTTCCAGTTGATTTATGAAGAAACAAGACATCCCATTTTCCAGCAGATGTACCTGCTTTTCTTTGAGTGAAGTGTTTTTGCCAACCTGGTGGTAATCGTCTATCTGCGACAATTATTGAACGACGTGGTCCTGCAAACATACATACATATGATGTATGTATACATGTTCATAAAAAAGTACAATATACATTAAACGAAAACTTTTATTTTCTTAGCATACCATCATTTCCATCTACGATGTACGATTCAGTACCCTGAGGTTCACCATCTACCCATTCGGGTCCTACATCTTCCTCTTGATCAGCATCATGTTTAAAAATTTCTTTCTTGTTTTTCTTTGCATATGGTTTTGCTTTTGATACATTAGTGTCAAATCCTCGTAATAAATCTGTACCTGGATCATAACATGGTCCAAACAATGTACCATCCAAATCTATTTTATTTTCAAACAAGCTATCACCACTTTCATTCATTGAAGTCCCCTCCTTTTTTGATAATTTATCTGTTTCATTCTTTGATCGTTTTCTAGAATGTGTATGAAATAACTCCATCACTATATGTTTTCGTTTCTTATCCCTTCTTTCTTGTTTACTTCCTATGTATTCTTCGCTTTGAGCAGGTTGCTGTTAAAAATAATGATGTACTTATTGTTCACATTGGTGTTATAAAAAAATTAATACTTGGGTTCATGAATATATCAATTTCATTTTCAATTAATTTACATATTTATTAGTACATTTTGTAATAGGAAAATTATTGGATTTATTCAGAATTATTATTTGTAATAAAAATAAACAAAAAAAAAGTTAACTAACATTTACACCTTACAAATCTTTACATAATCATTCAATATTGAAATAATACATGTTAAAATATATCAAATGCATACTTTTGTAATTACATTTAAAGTAATTATAATATGGAAAAAATGTGTTATAAATATTTTCTTCAGTGTTTGAACTAATAAAACAATTAGAATTTTTCTGTATTTTGAAATATTGTACATGTAACAATAGGAGAGGAAACGACTAAATGTAGTTTGTCAAACTTCATATTAATGATAGTAAAACATAACCTCACATACTAAATTTATACCTTTGTGGATGTTGTAGCGATTTTTGTCATTTTTGATGATTTAACGGTTTTTGCGTATCCATCATCGAAGAGTACATCGTACCTATCTGCAAAAATAGTTAATTTTATATCATAAAAACAATACTTTTTGTCTAAAAAACACCCTGCCAGAAACAAGAAACGTCAAACGAGTAATACGGAACAGTCCGTTTCTTTCACACGTACATAGTTAAGGTTAGGTCGCTTACCATTTCCTAACACTGCTTTTACTTTGGCTGGATATTTTCTCCCATCAGCCCATGTAGCAAGTATCCTTTCTCCAACTGAAAAGTCTTTCATTTTTGTTTCCCTAAAGGTATTAAATCGTTTCATTACCATAAGCAAAAGATATTGTCAGCCATTAAATAAATATTATGTGAAAACATTACACAAAACAATGAATAAGCAACAATTTTGTTTAAAGAAAATTATTTTGGAATAAAATTTGGGTTAAATATTATATGTATATGTACCTGACATATGCTTTGCAAAATTTATAGTATTAACACTAATTATCTATTTTTTTCAAATTTGAAAAGAAGGAATATATGCAACTTTACGTTTTTAAAAAATACTTTTGGAACTTACATTTCAACATATGTTACTGAATAAAGTATTTCATAAAAAATGTAATTTAAAGAGCTTGTGTATGTAGACCTATGTATACTATAGAATAATACTATAATATAATATTTACTATACGCACACATAAGTTATTTTAAAATATTATTTAAACTATTATGAAAATACAATATATATTTCAGAATTATAAAAAAGGTTTACACCATTTACTAATTGTGTGCTAAGCAATTTAATATAAAAATTATATATCTGTAGTTCAAAGTTCTTAAAAATATAGAAAACTTGATACAAAGAAGAATTTTTGCTATCAATCTTCTTTAGAATAAAAAATCAACGTCATCTGTCAAATAAAGAATATTACAGATACTACAAATTTTTCATCTATTTGATAATTATGCAAAATATCCACTTACGGAGATGATGGGTCCCAAGTTTGTTCGCTTAAAAAAAACAGAACCCAGTTACAAAACTACTCCTTAATTTATAAAATAAATCAGGCTACAAAACATTTATATTGTAACTGTTTTATTACTTGTTTTCTTTTCAGCGTGTTAGATAATTTTATGCATTCATAGATATAATTAATAAATCGTGAACTATCTACTCACTCTGACTGTGTTTGTAACACACGTAATCTAGAGCTATCCATAGGTATCCATTCATCAAATCTTGAACTCCATTTGTCAAAATGTATTAAGACTTCTCGTTCTTCCCAATCAGTTTCAACAACTTTAGCAGAATACCTACAACAACAATACATAATTAGTAATGAAAATTTCTTTTCACATTTATCAAAAAAATAATATATAACCAAAGAATCTCAATAAAATTTACCATTTTTCATTAAAATCTTTCGCTTCTAATTTGGCTCCAGGAAAAAATTTCAATCCATCTCGATTCAAAACCTTTGTTTTTAGCTCTTCTGGTTTGTCAAATGCTTTATCATCTTCTATTTTAATATTTTTCAGTTCTTCTTTAATAATCAGATCTTTTTGTATATTTTTTATTGCCATATCAGATTCTACAATTCCTAATTGTGCAGCCATAGTATTTACTTCCATTTCTAAATTTTCACTAATCTGTTGTTTTACAGAATGAATAGTTTCACATTTCGTAGATAAAGCTTTACATCCATTATCAACTAATTCTATTGAATCTATCATATTAAGCGAGTCAGCTGATGATTCTGGTCGCGATGAACATGTTTCTCCGCAGCTGTCTGATTTTGGTGTTCTTGCTTCAGATAATGATGGTGAAATGGATTGCTCTAAATTTAAAATTTCAGAGTTAATGAGATCCAAATCCTCCTGCGCATAAGAAGTTGATGATTTCACAGACATAATGACAGGATCTGCAAGGAAGAATTTAAATATGAAATAACTGAGAACTTTAATAAATAATATAATCATATTTTACATAACGCGGCATGTTCTTAATAAATTACTTATTACTGATAAATAAACTAATAAGACAATTATTCGATACATTCTTTTGATGAAGAATTATAACATAATCATTAAAAACTACTTCTGATTATTTAATGTGTAATACCTCATATAAAAATCTATAATTTACTTACTGCACATATATCATTATATTTAAGTAAAAACTATTTGAGAAATAGTATATCATTAAGTATATAGAAACATATACAAAAAAAACAAGTTGGATTCTAATGTAATATAAAAGCTACACTTATATCTTCAAAATTGTACATAGGTAGTAAATGGTTTACAATAATTTAAAAATATTACATTCTACAGTACAAACAAAAATTTCAATGAAAAATGAAATTAGTTAAATTAAGTAAATAGTCTGTTATAACAAACATTCAGTTACTTGAATATTCGATACACAATTACCTGAAGTAAACAAAGTGAAAATACTTTTTGATAAATATATATATTTATCAATAGATTGTCGTTATTAATGTGTACTAAAATTACTATTCTATATTTAACATAAGACACATGTTTGTTAGTTTCTATTTTCGTAAAGTAGTTTATTAAAAAAAAGTGGTTTTGCATAAATATTCGTAATTTATTTATCAGTAATATATGTTCGAAGCTACCGCGTATAAATGGAACACGAGGTATGAAGCCAAATAGAAAGAGTCAATAGGAAAGAAAGAATAGATAGGTACAAAAAAAGTAAGAGGTGATCTGCAGAAGATATACAAGATAGTCAACTACACCTTTTACGCTTGATAACACTGTTTCGTTTTATGAAAAATAAAAAGAGTCAGATTGCTATTATCCTGTCCCTACCTGGATGATTATCATAATCTGCGAAAACCGATGGAACACTGCCTTTACGTAGAAGTAACTTCTGCCCCTTGGCGGCTTCGTAATCAGCCCGTTTAAAATGTCTGTGACAGACAACTTGACCCGGCGAAGGTTTAAAACTCGCTTCGAATCCACCACTGGTCAACCACCTGCTTCTCAAACCGATGTCCTTCGGAAATTTGTGAAGCGGCAATCCTTTAGCACGCGCCTCTTGTACATCGGCTTCACAGCTACGCACGCAACATTTGCGCGCCATTCTCATCGTCCCCACAGGCGGTATTCCTTTACCACGCGACCGCGTTATACGCCGCCGCTTCATTTGCACCGGTACTACATAGCAACGTATCGCAAGAAAACATTTGCCGAGCTACTGGTCGTAAGAGTAAATTCTGCCTGCAACACGAGCAATTATGTGCTCGATCGCCTTGACACGGGCACTCTTCTCACTCGGAAGAAACTCGAATACTTAGTCAACCCGTAACGTTCGCAAGACCACTGGTGACCACTGGAATCACTAGCATAACTACGCACACGGTACTGATCGATTCACAGCTTTCAAGTAACGTCGTTGACTCGCATGTACTTCGATGTCACTGCGAGAAATCGAGTATATGCGTTAAGTTATTTGCGTACATCTCTCTAGATGTGGCGCCCTCTTGTTATTTTCATGAAAACAGACCCGTACGTTCTAGTGATGGACACCATCGACTGAAAACTATCGACTAAGTCGATAGTAACCAACGACTACTTCAGTCGACTAATCTTTTAAATTTAAATCGTCGCTATGTAATTCAGTTGACTGAAATAGTCGCTTCAAGCAACTCGCTCGAACTGTCGAGCTATTGATCGCTACTGACTGGACCTTAATTATTTTCTTCGCGATTTTATGCATTATCTTATAACCCTAATAACCAGTTGTGTACAAGTCTTGGGCAAGTTACCAGCAATAATGTATCTATTTCCGCAGTTGACTACGGTTTTGTAGACAACGCTTGATGTCAACACATTTTACGCAAGTTGCACGAAACTGTGTAGGATAGTTGACATTGAGGTAGATCATGGACATAGTAATAAAGGGAGGGAGTGTAAACAGAATGGCGGCAAACCGGTTTCCGGGGAACACGGTCACGTGGTACTTTGAGCCATAATGGCGATTGGTTATGATCGCGCAATCACATGGCGCAATCTTGTTTTCATTGAGTAGAAGTGTGCGCAGTGTAACCAGTTGAGGTTAGGAAATTATTTTGGACAAAAATATGTATATCTCAGAAACGGTTGCTCTTTCGACCTGTGTTTACTAAGGTTTTCTTACTTAGTACAGTGTGTCCTATGTATCATATATATATATTGAATGGTTTTTTTTAATAAGAAATTTGAAGTATTAGTAAAAAAGAAGACGGACCAACTATAATGTATTATCCTGGAATTCGGCTCTGTCACTTGATAATGTAAACATCTAAAACTCTAAACATTACGGGAAGCAGGGGTGTGATAATTTGTACATTTTGCTTATGTTAATAAATTAATTACATCCTATAAAAAACAGTATTTTATAATTACATTTATCCTGTTCTATAGTATTGTATAGTACTGACAACATTAAAATAATTATAAATTATTAACAATAAAAAAATTTCACTAAAAAATAACATATTTAACAATATTGAAATTAGATTTGAATACATAGAAACAAATAAAATTACATCAATAACTACAACAATAGACCCAACATTTAAAAAAGCAATTTTTCAAAACGGAAGAAATGCACAAAGAGCAATAGAAACTTTAACATCAAAAGTTCAGACTTTATTAACCAACGTGCAAATTCATGACAATAGACCTACAAATCCAGAAGAAGAACGAGATAATCAGGAGGCAGGATTGTGGAATTTTTATCTTGATAAAATTTCCCATTGAATCAGGCAGTGCTCTACACCCTTATAAAGTGCAACAAATACAACAAAGCAATACTTAGATCTGCATTACGAATATACTAAAAGTGATCCCACTGCATTTTGGAATGCGCATGGCCACGCAATGCCTGAACTGCAAAAAATAAATGAAAAATATTAAAATATTTATGTGCACCCGCAACATCTGTTCCATCAGAACAGATATTTTCTAAAGCTGGACACATTATGTCAGAAAGAAGCAACAGATTATCACTAAAAAATTTAAATCAACTCATTTTCTTAAATTTCAGTATGGAATAACATAGGTCAAAATAGCAGGTAATCGTATAATACTTTTTTTAGATGAAATTCTTTTACTTTTCAATTCCTAATATAGCAATATTTATATCCATCCTAGGAAAAAGAAGATGTTCCGTCGTAGACCCGAAACGACGGCTATAGAGTCGGGCGATACAGTTAATTTTCATTACTTTATTTCCTTCGTCCGTGCATTTTAGACATTTTCGATACTGGCCCCTTGCAATTTCAATTTCGTTAACAAATGGGAATAATAGACAAAAGACTCGAACGTTTGGTCTGCAGTCTGCCACATGCGCACGGTAATCTGGGACCTATCCGCGCCGGGCCTTACCGGGGCGCGCTTACTCGCAGACAATACAGCCATAAACCCTACTAGTGTTGTATAAAGCTCGAGTCTTTGAAGCTACAAAGCTTAGCCTTAAAGACTGAGTCTATAAGGCTACAATCATATGAAGCTCGAGGCTCAAGGCTCGAGCTCCAAGGCTCGAGTCGTCGAGGCTTTTATGTTTAACACGTTCACTGCTGAGCGTGTTTCTGCTGGTTTTGTCTTCAGCGCCTAAGAGTGATTGCCAATTAGAATCATATAATAATATATTACACAATATGAGTATATGTATTGTGCAAACTTATCATGCGTAGTACATTAATCTTGCTGCCGGTCATCTATGACTCCCACGGCGTAAGAGTATGTTTCCAGTCGATCAGATAAGACTATATTTTGAACATTACAAACAAATTTTTAGCAATGTTTCATTTCGTCTACTATTCAATGGTTATTTTGTTTCATTTTTCATTTCCCTTTCTTGGTATCAATCTCTCATGTGTTTGCAGTCATCGCTGTATTTTTTAAAAACTGTATAAAGTATAATATTATAGATTTAGTGTAAATTCCATTATTTAACACTTAAGGGTTCTAGAGGGTTGAACCTTAAAGCTTCAGACTTAATGTGGAATAACACAGTGACGATTGGCAAAAATTAAGTTTTTTATATATATACTTTCAAAGTATAATTTTTCGAAAATATTCTACCAGAATATTAAGTCGAATATCACGTGAATAACGAAAAAAATGTCCCAACTTTGATCAATGAACCGTGAACAAATTGAGAAATTATTTTGTTCGACGCGTAACATCCTATGACTCGTATATCTTGCTCAAGTATACATAGGTATTTTGTAATAAAAGAAAATTTAACGTATTGTCCAAAATATATATTTGATCACCCTATTAATAATAGTTTAATGAGGTTTGGGTGTTGCAGAACTAATTTATAAAAACCACGCTTTTCTGGACGTTTTTGGATTATTCCCCCTTGAATCTTTAAAAGCTTGAGATTCGTGTAATATTAGAGTTAAAAACTGAAAATTTTTAGGTTAAGTTTTAAGGCTTCGAAAATTCAAGGTCTGTACATTACTTCACTACATACAATTTATACGACTCGAGCCTTCAAGCTTAAAGGCTCGAGCGTTAAAGACTCGAGCTTTCACGACTCAAGCTTCGAACCTTGAGGGTTCGAGCCTTTAGGGTTTGAACCGCGACTCGAGCTGTTAAAGCTCAAGATTCGAGGCTCATTTTAACAACACTAAACCCTACCGTTAGGAGACTTGAAAATTCGTCGCGGTCAAGTCACATCGTGACCACGTGCGCTATATTTTTCTGGCGTCCGCTTTGCCCTGAAGGAGAGGGTTTCCACCTCCACGTCACTTGGGAAAACCTTGGAATTTTCCTTCTCCTTCAGGGCATAACCAATAAGAATGCGAATTTTGGTAACGCTATCGGCGAACTTGGAAGCAGCGCGATGTCACACAAAACTCGGATACTCGGACTCGAGCACTCATTCGACAAGTCATTCGTATTCGAACATTCGTACTGGTATCTCGTGTCGACAAGAGTCATTCGGACTCATTCCTCCGTATTCAAACATTCGTATCGACAACATTCATTCGCAAACACTCATTCGACAAGCCACGCATTCTTTGATCATTCGACAAATCACGATCAAAATACTCGCAATTCGTCAGCTCCACCGGTCGAGCAATTATACGAGTCATTCTCACTAAGAGAAAATTGAAACAGTTGCCTAATATTAATTTGGCACGCAACAGTCGCAAGTGGACGCGTACCAAGGCGGTTGTGCTTGGAATTTACAACTCCAGGCGGATTCAAAAAAGAATCTGCGCGGATGGACGCGACAGAAGAAATGACAACATTAACAACTACCGAATAAAATTTGGTATGTATAAAAAATTAAACAATCCCATAATTTTAAATACTTGCTATTGCGACAACACTTATTTGATTTTAAAGAATTTTTCCAAGAACTGTGCAAATTATAGCTTATAACCTAATTGATCTTGACAAAAAATTTAGAGCAGTTCATTTTTTAAGTGCCAATATTAACTAGCTTACGAAAAATCGAATATTAGTAATTGTTTAAAAAAACTTGTTTACCACTTATGTTTTTGAAATTCTATCTATGAACTAATACATTTCCCAAAGGTAAATACACCAATGATGTTGAAAATTTGATGACATAATTTATATATAACCACTAAAGCAAAATTTCGGTCGACAAAAAACTATCGACTAAATAGTCGATAGTATGTTGCGACTAAATAGTCATTAATCGATAGTTTAATTTAGTCGATGGTGCCCACATAGACATATACAAGTTGTCTCAAAAATGTCTCTCTTCCGGGAAATGAGGGGTTGCTAGGATGATTTGAAACCACTTTTTCCTTAGCAAAAATGTTATCTGCGGCTTTGTTAACGAGATGTTAACGAAAAACCCCGACCAATCAGAGCACGAGTTTGCCAGCCGAGTTCCTGCGCTAGCGGTGGCTACGCGCTACGCTTGTACTATGAAGCTCCGAACAAGCAAGTCGGCATGCATCCCAGGAAACCGCGTATGATAGCAAATAAGAAAAACATAACAAATCGAACTTTTTATTATCTTTCGTTTGCCATTTAAAGTGATGAATGAATAAAACATAAATGTAAGAAAATCACGTATAACGTAAAAAGACGAATACACAATTATTTTTTTAAACAGAATCTTCAAGAAGCCCGAAGAAAAATGTAGGTACCGAAACTTGCAGAATTATTGCCCGAAAAAAGTCAGATGTAGCTTGCGTTAAAGTAAAAAAATAATAATCAACAATAAATTGAATAGAACTCACCCTTTCGGAAATTCACCTGCAGCTTGCAAACCTGTGTCAGTAGGTCAGTGTATCGGGCCTAGGCATCGACGGACGAAGTGGTTTATGGCAGCGTAGAGTCCACGTCACAGCCGAAGTTAAGGGTTGTAACATCAAGTGTGTCCGAGTTATACCACCGAATACGTATTCACTTCACTGCACGACCACTAACACTGATCAGCCGACACGATCACTTAATATATTTTTAATCGAACGTGTTGTTCCTACGTTAGGAAAATTGGTGGCCCCGAAACGGGCCAATTGTTTTCAATTTATCACATGTTTTACGTAGCTAAACGCTTGCACAGCAGCAGCCGCATATCCGTTATTCTGTGCGTATCAACAGCACATTGCGTAATACTCCCGTGAACTGAACATCTCTGTCGTCCGATTCCTAACCGACTGACAGAATTTTTCCGGAAGGGCTTCCTCTACCCCCAAGTAGTTTCTCATCGTTACATTGTGAGTTCACTCCCACCGTGGCAACAAGATTTAGGTAAAAAGAAACCAGCGTTCTAGGAAAACACGTGCTTTGCAGAAGTGCAACAAATGAACCGTCGTGCAGTTTCACCGAAACGCCGGCTCCGTTAATTTACTGCCAGGATACCCATTGCTTCAAGATAGAAAGCAGAAACTCCGTTTTCCCTTGAGGAGCAGGAAAAAAAGTTTCACGGACACATTTTGAGTTGACGCTGCTTAGTCTTGTCCGAGCACCTCACCAGAGGCCAGATCGGAAGTTTCGGTTATTTACGACCTAATTGCTTCGGCCTCATAGCAGACGTGGACTCACAAGGGAACAACCCAAATTTTGACAATCACCGATTTTTATACAACTCTATGAGATTGTAGTTCTAATCCATATATTTGATACCCATTTCTTTTTAGCTGTACTCATCCACGTTAAAGGGGTGAAAACAACCCTAGATGGTAAAAGAACCAGGCGCTCTGCTATTACGGTCGATTACCGTACCGCTACTACTCCAGATTATTTCAATGAGGTTAAAAACAATATCAAAGTGTCAATAATAATTTATAATTTACACAAATATAAAAAAATAATAATATAATTAATAATGAAATAATTAAATATTTATCCTTTTTTTGTTTTTTATATTTATATATTATTTTATGATTTCCTATCTATATTGTTTTTCATCTCATTGAAATAATCTGGAGTGGTAACAGTACAGTAGTTGACCGTAATAGCGGAGCGCCCAGTTCTTTTACCTGAACCGGGGCGCACTGCAGTCTTTAATAGCTTACTGCGACGTTAATCTGAACTGTATCACCTTACCGATAGGCTTATTTTATGGAAAACACTTCATCGAATATGGTAGTATTTATTTCGGATTTTAAAAATCGCAACCTCGAGGTAAAATGTGCACAATAAGAATTTGTTAATAATTTTTAGTATTGCAAAAATGATTCTTCGACATCGAAGAAATTTATTCAGGAAGGCTGATCCTTCTCGATTAATACAGAAAGAGGAATCAACCGAATATGACATATAGTTTCCGAGATATAAAATCATAAGTACAATATGTACAATAAGTACATTATGTTTTATGTTTCCTCGTATTTTGTATAAGAGGGAGTACTTCAACGCATATAATTAAACAGATAGTGCACTTTAACGATTTCCAGATATTTCTTTTACGGTATACGTTGTTGGTTGATCTTCAAATGGTTGAAATTCAGTTTGCAGTTCAGTTCCTTGCATCCTGTAATGAAACGTTCGCTCTGGCCTCTGCTGAGGTGCTCGGACAGGGTCAAGCAGCGTCGACTCAACATGTGTCCGTGAAATTTGTTTTCCTGCTCCTCGAGGAAAACGTAGTTTCTGCTTTCTATCTCGAAGCAATGGGTATCCTGGCAGTAAATTAACGGATCCCGCGTTTCGGTGAAACTGCACGGCGGTTCGTTCGTTGCACTTCTGCAAAGCATGTGTTTTCCTAGAATGCTGGTTTTTTTTACCTCAATCTTGTTGCCGCGATGGGAGTAAACTCACAATGTAACGATGGGAAACGACTTGGGGTAGGGGAAGTTCTTTCGGAAAAATTCTGTCAGTCGGCGATAGAGATGTTCAGTTCACGGGGATATTACGCAATGTTCTGGTGGTATGCACATAGAAACGGATATGCGGCTGCTGCTGTACAAGCGTTTGGCTACGTACAACGTGATAAATTGAAAACAATCGGCCCGTTTCGGGGCCACCAATATTCCTAACGTAGGAAAACACGTGCGATTAAAAATACATTAAGTGATCGTGTCTGCTGATCAGTGTTAGTGGTCGTGCAGTGAAGTGAATACGTATTCGGTGGAATAACCCGGACGCACTTGACGTTACAACCTTTAACTTCGGCTGGTGAGGTATACCTGTGATCACCTGCGGACTGGGCGCTACCCTGCCATAAACTGTTTCGGTCGTCGATGACCAGGATCGGTACAGTGACCTGAGTGACTGACTGACACAAGTCTGCAAGCTGCAGGTGAATTTATTGGTTATTATTATTTTCTTAATTTAACGAAAGCTATGAATTTTTCTAGGCGATAACTTTGCAAGTTTCCGTATCTAAATTTTTCTTCGGGTTTCTTAAAGAGATCTATTTATTATCAGTAATGTTATTGCCCATTATTAAACTACGAATTTTTATGCCTAGACCGAACTACGATCACTTCTCGTTCATTCTCTGTTACATTACCTTTTCGTTAATACATTATTTGAATAGGAAATTTACAAATTCCTTAGCCTCTTTCTACAAATAATTATTAGTTTCCATTCTGTTTAAAAAAGTAAATGTGTATTCGTGTTTTGACGTTACACATAATTTTCCTACATTTATACTTCATTCATTAATCTGTTTAACTGCCAAACAACACATGATAAAAAGAACGATTTTATTTGTTACGTCGTTTTTATTTGCTATTATACGCAGTTTCCTGCGATGATGCTGACCTACTTGTTCGGAGCTTCGTCGTACAAGCATAGCACGTAGCCACCGCTAGCGCGGGAACTCGAGTGACAAACTCACGCTCTGATTGGTCGGGGTTTTTCGTTAATATCTCAGTAACGAAGCCTCAGATTACATTTTTGCTAAGGAAAAAGTTGTTCCAATTCACCCCCCGATTGTCCCATTTGCGGGTCGAACAACATTTTTGTTACACCCTGTATAATAGACTGCGCGGCTTACGGGAGGAATGAGGTTGGCAGTAGAGTGAGAGGATAATACATGGAGTCACAGACTTCTCTTTCTAATGGGACTATTGGTGGGGTATTCTCCAACGGCTGTGTGGAGGCATTACATCACATTACATGCGTGCAGCATTCCTTCTCCTTATCACCTTCCAGTAACTTTCTCCCCTCCCTCTGCGATGTGCGAGCGAGAGAGGAAAGACTCCATCGGTCACCATCGGTACTTCCGTCCTTCGGTCTCGCTTCATACCTATCATAAGACCGCACAGTCTATTATATATGTCTATGTAATAATTATTGTCCCACCCTGTATATCAGTGCATTTACTACTGTACTGTAACAATATTGCCTCCATACTGTAATAAAAACATTCTAAGATTAATTGTCAACAATTGCACGAAATCAAAAAATTACAAAATTATTAAATGTTCTGATTTATTTGTTGTGCAAAATATTGTTTTGTTATATTATTCTAATAGCTAGCATACAAACATGAAACTTATATTACTTGTTTATTCAAAAATCTATTATATATTTTTGCCTGTGTACCGATAATTTTGTGATTCACTCTATAAATTGTATAAAACGCGAATAATAACATAGGGTGCAATTATGTAATGCAGTACCCAGCAACACCATGATCGAGAGTAACTCGATCATGGTGTTGCTGGGTACTGCATTAATCAAAATATGGATTATTTGAGTTGAGACTTTCAAATTTTCCTAATTCAAGTGAAATTGAAATTAAGAAGTTTGATGAGTTTCAAGTGAAATTTATTTGATATTTCATATTGATATTTATAGTAATTAATTTATTTAAAAGCTTTTATCATATAAAATTGCAAAGAGTATTTATCAAATGGTTTATGACAAATTCTTATGGGTATGTAAATTGGTAAGTATAATTAGTTATACATTTGAATAAATATTATGATCAAGTATGTACATAAGAAAATATTTCTTTGTTAAATAAACAAGCTTCGAGAAAAGTAACATGTAATTAAGAATATCTATGTTTTATTTAATTCATTAACAAATAATTACAAGTATTCAGAATTAATTAATGGACAATTTCAACTAACATATTTTTTTATAAAATGGATTTATGGGACTCGGTATAGGATTTGCTTTTAGTACTCCTACTAATGGCTTTTTGTTTGCATCGAATGGAATTGATGGACTTTTTTGGACTTGCAGTATATATTCAGATGTATGTTGAGCAGTGTTACGTTGAAGAGCTATTTTCACTCGCTTCTTAAAATTTGAAACACTATGAACTTTGAGTTGCCCAGTGGTGTTACGAATTGTTCTCTGTAACAAATATATAATTAGTAAAGAGGTAGTGATTTAATACATAATAGAAGTGTATGTTTCGTTTTAAGAATGAATGAAATAAAAATATGTATTACACAAACATACACTTTTTTCATTTTTAACCTTCTTTACTATGGGTAATATCCATGTTGCTGGTTCATTACAGTTGGTTCTGTTTTGAAGACTATCATTTACACTTGATTTTTTAACACTTTTTGTACATGATTCTGTAGTGTTATCGTCTAAGGTTTTAAGCGTAGATGAAGATATATTGTCTGAAATATCCCACTTGTTACAAACTGTAAGTTTTGTTCTTTTCCTTTTAACTGGTGTAACAATACTTAACATATTTGCAATAACAGATTTATTTTGTTTTAGTTTCATCTTTTCACATCCATTATTACTCTTAATAATATGCAGTGGATCTTTTTTTGCTTTACAATTATTGGTTTTTGTACTTATCTTACAATTATCAGAAGTTTGTTTTTTTGGTTCACCCTTTTTTTTCTGTGATATAACGGTTTTTGTATTTGATACTTGTGAATCACTTGGTGTTTCATTGTAAGTACATTCTTTTTCATACTTCTTTTTTTTCTTTGTATCATCAGTAGTATCTCCTTTTATTAAGTCATTCTCATCGTTAATATCTTCTGAATCTTTGTTACTATGTATAATATTTTCATCTTCCATTAATCGCTTATTTCTTTTCTGTTTCTTGCGCACTGTATCAGAATATAAATCGTTTTCGAAGTTCAGAAGACTCATTGCAGCTGATTTCGTATCCGTATCTTTCTTGCGTTTGTATGGAATTCTTATCTCCTTAATACCAAGGGGCATTCTTCCCTCTGACAGTTCCATAAATCTGCGAACGCGATTTATTAAGGAATATCATTTTTGTAAATATCTAAATTTACTTAGTTCTTAATTCGTTATTACTCACTCTTTAATGACACAATTTAGATATCTGCGTGACTTCGTTGTCGATGAAGGATGATATTTATATTGACTTAATAGTGTAACAATCTTTTTAGCATTAAAAGATATCTGTGGTAATTCAACATCTACCCTTCCAGCTCTTGCGTCTAAAGTTTTCTCCGTAGTACTTTTGACTCGACTTTCAGGAAGTTCTTCTGTTTTATTATAAATATCTCTATCTTCCAGTTCTTCATCTGATATATCAATTTTTGCCATAGCGTCAATTGAACCAGCAGGGAAGCCAGCCTACATGTAATATGTTATACTATATAAATAAAATAGAACTTTTGTGATTAGAATTTTTGCAATTTAGATTTTTATTATCCAAATGATCAGCTATGTAAGCATTCTATTATCCAAGTAAAATATGGTTATATTTTTATCTTACTGCTGTAAACTACACGAACAATAATGTATTATCAATTTGACAGAATGTCAATTAAATAAAAAGTCATACACAGCAATCTGATGATAAAAAGTACATAAATGTTTAGACAAATAGATTTTTTTTATATTTTTTTCATTTATGTTTTATGGTAGAGTATTCAAAACATACCACTACAAAAAATGATCACCATTGTGAAAGTTTGTATTTCCATAGTCCAAAATTCTTGTAATCAAACAGCTACATTTGTCTGTTAATTTGTATAATGAAGTTTTACTGTATTTATGCAATCTTATAGAAGGTAAAATCTATTTTCCTCTTTTTATTTAAAATTATTTTGGTTTAATACTTACGTCTCTCCAAGCTTTAAATTTTTCCATGTAATCCATTCCAATATCTGACTGGTAGATTAAATATTTAAAAACATATCTCATAACATGTTTGATTTGCTGTTCATCATCCATAATTATGAAATATGTAATAAATGGTTTAAGAAATTCTGTGACTGCATCTTCTGGTATATCGCCGCCACTGATCTATGAAATTACATGTTTAATATTAAATATCAATGAATAAATATTTTAAAATATCAATTTTCGAAACTAATATACCTTTGATAATTCTTCGAGAAATACTTCTGTCACATGCATCTTAAAACCAAGACATATTTTTGGATCTATAAAAAGTTTTTGAAGTATTTCAGCAAAACCTTTAATCCATTCTATATCCCACGATCTTTCTTTACATTTAACAAACGTTTGGCGAATTATTCTTCTTACTAACTGTAAACAAGTATATAATAACGAATAATTTAAACACAACAATATATAAATTAAAGAACGAAAATACATTTTCTAGCTTACCATAGAAAATTTGTCTAATCTGTATTGATCTATACCAAACCATTCTATACCTAATGTTTTTAGAGCACACATTGTATACAGTAATACCACATCTTTAATATTGAAACAATGGGAAATTTTACTAAGAGATTCTGCTAGTTCTTCCTGAATTAAAGGTTTATCTGACATCCACATACAATAAAATAAACCTTTCCACAATCGTGTGAAATCAGCCTCTGTAAATGCTATTAACAAAATATGTATTACATATTCCTTAGATATAGATTTATTGTTACATCTCTTATCATTATACTTTCAATTTTATGAATTCGCAGCACATACAAGTGTTTAGATACAAACACCTAAATTATGTTCTATTTTAGTTTTGGTAGGTCAATTCATAATAGAATGAATTCACATGAACACCCAGTATACTTGTACAATACTTTAATCTTATGTACCACAAAATAATCATTGTTTTTATAATACGTGAAAGTTTCTTTGTTATGTCAACATTGTAACAACATAAAAATAAGAAACTTTAATTAACAGTAAATTCATCTTACCAAATGTACTTTTCGAACGAACTGTTAACCATTTCCTTAAATTTTTAAGTATTTTATCTCGGACTCTTTTATCATTACTTGACAACAAACGAGCAAATTTTATTTCCTGAGCAATAATGATTGCTTTCTTATTCTTCTTGTCTTCCGTAGTCATATGTGTATGTTGTTCCTTATTCTTAAATATTTGTTGCTCCGACTTTCTTAGCGGTGCACGTGTGCACCGATGTTCTTTTTTAACCGCCATTCGTGAAAATAACTAAAAAATGTACACCTTTCCTTATTTTAACTTTGATTAGAACATTTCTAATTTATATTTTTTTGACATACATACTAAGATCATGCGAATTCTTATATTTTATTTCAACAAAACACAAATGCTAGACGCAATTTGATTTCTTTCGAAATATGTAACAGTACATATATAATATGCAGGACGTGGACATAGGAATTGATAGGAATAAAGGGAGGAGCGTTCGCTGAGGGCGGCGCAGCACTTTCCGGGAAGCAGGGAAGACGGTCACGGTCACGTGGTACTCTAGTGCCACATAGGCGATTGGATGTAGTCGCGAAAGCGCAATCTTGTTTTCATCGAGTAAATGTAGTATCACATAGTGATGGGCACCATCGACTAAATAAAACTATCGACTAACGACTATTTAGTCGCAACATACTATCGACTATTTAGTCGATAGTTTTTAGTCGACTGAAATTATGCTTTAGTGGTTATGTATAGAGTATATCGTCAAATTTTCATGACACCATTGGTGTATTTACTTTTTGGAAATTAATTAAGAAAAAATATAAGTGGTAAACAAGTTTTTTTAAACAATTACTAATATTCGATTTTTCGTAAGCTATTTGATATTGGCACTTAAAAAATTAACTGCTCTACATTTTTTGTGAAAATCAATTAGGTTATAAGCAATAATTTGCACAGTTCTTGGAAAAATTCTTTAAAATCAAATAAGTGTTGTCACAATAGCAGGTATTTAAAATTATGGGATTGTTTAATTTTTTATACATACCAAATTTTATTCGATAGTTGTTAATGTTGTCATTTCTTCTTTCTCCTAGGACAGATATAAATATTGCTATATTAGGAATTGAAAAATAAAAGAATATCATTTTAAAAAATATTATACAATTACCTGCTGTTTTGACCTATGTTATTCCATATTACAATTTCAAAAAATGAGTTGATCTAAATTTTTTGACGATAGTCTATTTCTTCTTTCTGACATAATCTGTCCAACTTTGGAAAATATCTGTTCTGATGGAACAGATCTTGCAGATGTACATAAATATTTTTCATTAATTTTTTTTAGTTCAGGCATTGTGTGGCCATGTGTATTCTAAAATGCAATGGGATCACTTTTAATACTTTCGTAAGGCAGATCTAAATATTGCCTTGTTATGTTTGTTGCGGTTTCTAAAGGTGTAGAGCACTGTCTAGTTAAATGGGAAACTTTATCAACAGAAAAATTCCAAAGTCCTGCATCCTGATTAAGTGGTTCTTCTTCTT